TTACTAGAAATGAGGAAAAATCCTTCAAACGTTCTTGTAGCATTTGATTTAAGTGTTTTCTGTCACACATTATGAGAACCTGTAGGTAACATTAGTTAAATGAACAGTTCTAAACTCTGGTTCCCTAAACATGACAGAAAGCTAACGGCTAACGTTCCAAAGATGAGGTAGCCTAGCATAAAAGTTAGCAAAAAGTTCCTTAAAAGTCACATTTCAGTTCTGACAGGAGAACCACAGCAGCACAGTGATCACTTCATGAGAAGCCGGACAGCGCCTCAGCAGAACCTCACTGCCCCTGTCGGAACATCAGGGAACCAAAGCTCACGTCCACCTGAGTCCCGGACCTGAGTCCCGGACCTGGGTCAAGTTAGCATAAAGCGCGGCTCACCTGCTCGTTTCTGCGGACCGGTTCTCTCCAACACAACCGGGGGAACTGCTTTCGCTTTCTTCACTCTCCGTGTCGTCCTGCTGCTGCTGTCTCTGGGTCGGTGTGTGGGGCTGCGCTGGAGGCTCAGCCCTGCCGGCAGGGAGGCGGTGTCAGCGGCAGGTAGCCGGACCCCACCCACGGAGCCCCGGCGGCCGGCGCTGGGCCATAAAGGGATCGGCCGCTGGCGGCAGGCTGCAGGCTTCAGAACCGGACTGGTTCTGTGCTGAGCTTCAAGCAGTCCAACCTCTTGTTTGAAACTGATTTAAATAAAAAGAAAAATAAGTGTAGTTTAACTCATATCATGCATGTTTTCACTTGCTAAAAATGAACTGCAGCTCCTCCACTGACACTGAAAAGTGCAGATTGACTTGAATTAAATGGACAAGAGATTGATTCTTTATTTATGTAAAAATCCATCCAACAAGGATATTAGACGTACTAAACACATGCAGCTTAAACATCACACACAATATAATCATACTGCCTATTATCTAGGGCTGCAAATTACAATATTTTCATTTCTGATCAATCTGTTGATTATTTTCTGGATGAATTTATCAATTCTTGGTTTCTGAAAACCCAGGATGATGTTCTTAAATGTCTTCTTGTGTCCATGGCCGTAGTCAGTCAAGTTCGACTTTCCCCCTCTAAAAGTTATTGAAACTAATTAATCAATTATGAAAATACATGACAATTCATTTAATTGAGGACAGATGATCAATTAATCATTGCAGCTCAAGTATAATCTTAAACGTCAGGATAGATAGATAGATAGATAGATAGATAGATAGATAGATAGATAGATAGATAGATTTTTATATTTCCAGGACATACACAGGAACCAAAAAGACGTTTCTCTTTCCCCTTGTGTTAGTGCCATACAGTATAAATTAATTTCAATCAAATGTCTAAAATTCAACCGATGTGATAGTGTAATATAGTGGCAGCTGACTGAGGTGATCGTAGTTGCAATTATCCAATTACAAGAAAAGTTTCACGAAGACGAACCTTTGCCGTCACCACAAACATAAAGTTCTGTGTATTTGAATGTAAAGACTGTTTGATCCAGATAAAAGCAGCAGCTCTAGAAACCGGGAATCAGTTTTCGGCAGAGGATCACTTTTTGGCACAACACCGGCCCACTTTTTTTTAATGCAAAGAGAAANACAAAGTTGTATTTGTTTAATATTACTGCTTCCAACCCACTGCGTTAACTCTGTAGACATCTTACCCAGCAGTCAGGGAACGTTCCCACAACATTGGCTAACAAACAGCACTACAAGGTCCAGAGATATTATAACGAAAACATTGTAATCTAACGTTCTAATAACATTTTAAGGATATTTATCATTTCAAATAATGAGGTTAAAAGTTAACTGAGACAAAACATTTTGACATTCGGAAGATGTTTGGAGGATGTTGTCAGATTATGTTACAGACGACAAAAGAAGAACGTTCTGTCTTCTGAGAAAGTTCTGCAAAGTTTTACTAAAGTCCTCAGCAGGAAAACGTTCTTCTTAAAGGCAGAATAAAGTTCTGTAAAGACGCTCCAAACATGTTCTTAGGAGATTTTCAAATGGTTGCATTGAGAATACTCTACTTTTGTAATCATGTAACATTGTGGGAACGTTTTACAGGAGAACGTTCTCAACAGCAACATCACCAGAACATTCTTTGAATACTGCAGGCAAAATGTTCCACATTTGTCGATATTTAAAACTTTTTATAAAAACACAGTCTGTCTTCTGAGGCCTCCATAACATCTGAAAAACATTCTTTGAACGTTGGTTTGAGAACGTTCTTCTTTTGTTATCATGAAATATAATCTGACAACATCCTCCCAACACTTTCTGAATGTTAAAAAGTTCTGTCTGAGTTCATTTTAACCTCATAGGAACATTATTCAAAGTGATAAATATCCTTAAAACATTCTTGAAACATTAGATTAACATGTTTTGTTTTTTTTTCAAATATTATTAGAACTTGTAGGTAATGTTAGATAATATGGGAACGTTCTCTGGTTGCTGGGTTGCTCTTTGACATAGCAGGAATATTTGTGGTTCTAAAAACATTTTGAAAAAGGTCCACAAAGTTCTAGTAATGTTTGTTTTCTTCTAATTCCCATAATGTACTGAAAGCTGTCTAAAGATGTCTAAAAACATGTTTCTTAAACATTTACTGAATGTTGTATTAAGAACTTCCATCATATCCATCCATCCATCATCTCTACACCTTAATCCTCACCAGGGTCACGGGGGGCTGGAGCCTATCCCAGCTGACTCAGGGTGAAGGCAGGTTCACCTGGACAGGTAACCAGTCTATCACAGGGCTACACTTAGAGACAGACAACCAAG